CCTCAAGGAACCAGAGGAATATTGTGTGTTTCATCGGAGTTTTACTGCACTCTTGTAGACTCATCCCTTCCCTGTGACCCCACTGTTGGGGGATGTCCCTCATTATTCTTTAACGATGAGTACTTTTCCATTTAAGGTTCACTCTTGATGTTGGACAGTCTTGATTTTTGACAAATCTATTATCCATGCTGACAATATCATACAGCATAGTTTCATTTTTTAAAATAGCTTGAGAGCTTTTTTTGGAAGTCTCCTTTACTGCCTACTTTTAATTTCTAATTGTGAACACTTTCACACACATACTGATATAAACAGTGACCTATTTGCCCCAGCCTGGCCTCTATAACCCTCCACCCAGCTCACCTGCTCTCTATTGTTTCCTACTTTCCTCATCTAATGTATTTTACAATAAATCTCTGATCTTACCCATAAAGTCTCTAAAAACCATCCAGCCAGATGGTTTTTAAAGAGCATAAAACTTCTTCATCACACTCCACAATATTAGTAATGATTTACTTACACTCCGTTTAGTTCTCCCCAATGGCTACAAAAATGTGTTTTACATTTGGCTGTTTGATTCAGAATCTAAACAAGACCCACACATTACATTTGGCTTTTCTGTGTCTTCAGTTTGTTTTATTGTTTCAGTCTCCATGCCTTTACCTTTTTATCCCTTGTATTTGTTGCAGAAGCATGGTTGTTGTGCCCACATTTTAAATTTGGTGAGAGAGTCACTGTCATGAGGCCCTGCTGGTCCAGCCTTCTCTGTACACAGAACATTCCCTATCAGCCTTACTCCTGAAATCCAATTGGATTTCCAACCATTGGAAATCACCGCAAAGTGAATTTTGTATTCTTTAACTCTTAGAAATTTCCTCCACATTTATTTGGTTATCCTGAGACTTCTAGGCATAAGCACATTAATGAAAATACTGTTGGTTTACCTGCAATTCACGTTAAATGAGAGTCCTAGGTTTTCATCTGTGCATCATCCTTAAGTGCCCCATGACTCAAGCTCTTGGATATAAACTTCCAGTCTCTCAGCACCACCCAAGGAAGAAGGTCATATTTACCTTACCAAACCATGGAAGCATCCGTGGGTAAAGAATCAGAGGGTTGAACCCAGAACCTCAGACTAGGCCATTCCCTCAGCATTGCTGTCACAGTGTGAGGACAGCTGAGAGTGTGTGAATGTGCGTGTAAGGACAAGAGAGAATGTGTGTGTGTGTGGGGGGGGGTGAGAGCATAACTATGAGTGTGTGAGTGATGGTGGGACTGCATGAGTGGGAAGGCGTGCAGACATGAGTGTGCACACATGTGTTCTCAGGTGGCAGGGGCACAGCCTTGCTGGGGTCTGGTGCTCCTCCCTAGGTGAGGCTTACCTCCTCCTGCCTGGCCTCTCCAGGCCCAGAGCGGAGCGTGGACGTGACAGATGTCACTAAGCAGAAGGATTGCAAGATGAAGCTGAAGGAGTTTGTGGACTACTATTACAGCACCAACCGGAAGCGGGTCCTCAATGTCACCAATCTTGAGTTCTCTGACACTAGGTGAGTGGCTAAGGGGCACTAGGGTGCACTGGAGGGGAGGGATCAGGCGAGGGCCATGGACAAAGAGAAGAAGTCTTCTTCAAGGAGAAAGAGAAGGTCTGCGAGTAAGACCCTGGAGCCAGGGGAGAGCTAGGACCTGCCTTGTCCAAGTAGACATGACAGCAGCTTCTTATGGGACAGCCGAGGTACCGGTGCAGCTGCCTGTGCTCGATTTTTGGATTGTGAAGTGGTCACCACGGGACCCTGGGTTTGGCAGTTTGGATGCAGTATTTTGCATGTTATCCTAGACTTTGCATTTTAATTGGATCGAAGGCTGCCTTTCCCTTTTTATCATCCTTGGAATTGGTGGGATATGCTGGGGCATGGCTGGCTCCTTGCTGTGGCTCTAAAAAGCAGGGGGACACTAGTAGGTCTGTGTGGTATTGGAGAAATGATCTCTACTGAGCACCTGTGCTCCATCTCCCTCATCAAGAGGGCCGACTCGGACCACGGTTTTCTAATTCTCCAGGGAAGGCTATTTCATTCTGGAGGGGCCCAGGGTCAGGTACCCTGGCCTTCTCCTTGTCCCCGCTTTGTGCGTGGCAACCAGTATCGGACACCTACCACTACTGTCATTCAGCAGTGTCCCTGGCGCATTCCCATCCTCTAACTTCAGTGTGCCCAATTGTAAACTGGGAGCAACATTACCTCCTCCCAGTTGTGGACTGACGTTGAGGAGGGCCTTGCGGAGTACCTCCCACCCCACTTTCTCACCCAGTAAGTGACGGCGCTGACTGCTCTGATCCTGCTCCTCTCCCCGCCACCAGAATGTCCAGCTTTGTGGAGCCACCTGACATTGTGAAAAAGCTGTCCTGGGTAGAGAATTACTGGCCCGATGATGCTTTGCTGGCCAAACCCAAAGTGACCAAGTACTGTCTCATCTGTGTGAAGGACAGCTATACCGACTTTCACATCGACTCTGGGGGTGCTTCTGCCTGGTACCACGTGCTCAAGGTGGGTGCCAGTGGCTCACTCTCCCTTGCCCACAATGCCAAGCCAGCTAGCGTGGAGCCCCTGTGTCCCTAGCTCTGCCCAACAGTGCATGGGCCCAAATCCATATACTACCTTTCCACAGGAGGGGCCCGGTGAGATTCTGGCAGTGAAGACCTTTTCTGGGTAGAGGGGTGGTACCTCCTAGATCTGCGATGTGCAAACCATATCCTTTTCCTGGTCAGATTGGAGCTCATCAAATAACCTGGAGGACGCCCCCATGCATCATGTCCATGTGACTTGTGCCCACAGTGGTAGAGGTGTTGAGATTTCCTGAAGCAGAGAACTCTATGTGGGGCCAGGTGGGGTCAAGAAAGGGCTGTGATTCCAGCCTTGCCTGAGACCTAAGCAGTCAGAAAAGTCGAGTTTTATGTGTAACCCACTCAACAGCCTAGTTTTCCCCTTCTTCCAAATGTCTGTTTGTAGTGCTGCAGACAGATGGCTATGGGGGATGATTGGATGTGCTCCAGATCCCACTTACAGCCTTCCTAGTATCTAGACTTCGAATTGCATAGCACATGTGACCCTATTTTATGTAAGGAAAGGTTGGCCTGGTCCAGGGCCAGGACTAAATTACCAGGTGGAATCCTTCCCTAGGCCCTTCCTCCACAATCTCGGGCAGGATGGACTCTGTACCTTCAGGATCCCTTGGGTGTACCCAGGGTTCCCCAGGACCCGGGGGTGTGGCAGACTTTGTACCTCCCAGCAACTCCTATGATGTGATTGACTCTGTACCCCCATTGGGGTATGGTAGGCTCTGCTTACCCCCACAGTGGCCTCTCTTTCTTCACAGGGTGAGAAGATATTCTATCTCATCAAGCCGGCCTTGGCTAATCTCTCCCTATATGAGCGTTGGCAGTCAGCCTCCAACCACAGTGAGATGTTCTTTGCTGACCAGGTGGACAAATGCTACAAGTGCACCCTAAAACAGGGCCAGACACTCTTCATCCCATCAGGTGGGCACAACTCAGCCTCCCATCTCTGGCTTTTCTGTTTCCCATATCACGTGCCCTCCAGAGGCCTGTGCTGGGGCTTCCTGTGTCCCTCACCGGGAAGCTGGCTTCTTTCTCCTCTGCCTTGAGGATGATCCCCTGCCCCACCTACTTGCTTCCTGACTTGCCTGGGGCTCTGCAGGAACTTGCTGCTGAGTCTACCATGGCCAGATCTGGCAGAGAACCATTCTAGGTGCTGCCCTGCTCTGCCATAATGTGGGCACACCGCTGTTGTCCACTCACCATTCCAAGTATGCAGTGAGCTTATGGGCCTATGAGCCACAGAGGCAAGAGAGAAGATAAGAGTGCTCACTGCGTGGATGTTCACGCGAGGATTTTTTAGAGACACAGAGAAAGAAAGCATGACAAAATGTGACAGAAGCTTCCCACTTCCCCACATGCCACTGCCCCGATGATGATATGAATTTGACATTGTATTTGTTTCCTCTCTAAAGACGTCCCTATCTAACTTCACAAGGCTTCTCCTTTGAAGTAACAGTTCTTGTATTGTCATCATCCTTAAAACAGGCATAGGAATAGCGATTCCCCTAGACTTTTCTCATTATTGTGTCTATTGTATTCCATTTGAAATCAAGGTCCAAGTGAGGCTTTCTGAATCCTCCATAATCTAGGTTCCTGGACCTTCCTCCTTCCCTTCTTCTCTCTCTCCTTCCTTTGCTTTTCTCTTAACCACAACTTTCTCCTTGAAAAGCTGAAGGATCCCAGAGTCTGAGCCCCTGGCTCCTCCTCTGTGGATTGCAGCCCTCCTGGGAGATTCAGCTGCCCCTACCTTGTCCTTCTTCTCAACCCTGTGTCTAGAGGTCAGGGTGGACAGATTATCTAGGGACTTAGGACAATGACTCATTCTTCTGCTCCCAATCCTCTCCCTTCCCCAGGCCTCAGTTTCCCTGTCCATGCCCTACAGGAACTGGATTGAACACTCTGTGCCTGCTTCTAAGGACCTCTTCTGCCTGGAAGGTCCAGCTCACTTTGTAAGGAGAGCAGGATGGGGTTGAGAGCTCCTAGGCACCTGGTCAGGGGTCACCAAGGAATGCTGGGACCTAGCAGTGTTTCTCTTTCCTAGGCTGGATCTACGCCACCCTCACACCTGTCGACTGCCTGGCCTTTGCAGGACACTTCCTCCACAGCCTAAGCGTGGAGACGCAGATGAGGTAGTGCCGCCAGTGCCACACCTGCTTCCTGGGCTCTGCTGGGCAGGTCTCCCCCTCTGGGTCAGTGTGATGGGCACCTGCACCCGAGTCCTGCCCTGCCTCACGTGGGTGGCCTTGGGTGTGGCCCATTGGTTTGAGGCCTCAGTGTGCTCCTTGGGGAAAGAAGGATTTGGGCTCCCTTGACTGCAAGAGGCCCACTGACTACCTAGAGGGACATAGTTTTGGGATGGTCCGGGTGGTGCTCTAGGGATTGGGGGGAAATTAAAGGCTGGGGCTTCCCCTCCTTTTCCAGGCATGGGAATTTCTCTGTAGTATAGTTCCTGACCTCAGTGGCCTTCCGCAGAGGACTCTGGTCCCTTCTGCTATGTACAGGCCTAGTCAGACGCCTGAGCATGGTTGGGTCTACTCTGACTTTGCCAGGCTAGTTATCATTGCACTGATATCCTTTGCTATGGCTTGCAGAGCATATGAAGTGGAAAGAAGATTGAAACTTGGCAGCCTGACTCAGTTTCCAAACTTTGAAACTGCCTGCTGGTACATGGGGAAGCATCTGCTCGAGACGTTCAAAGGTAGCAGTCAGCCGTGTGTGTGTGTGTGTGTGTGTGTGTGTGTGTGTGTGTGTGTACGTGTGCATGCATGCATGCTGTGGGCACTAGAACTCTGCAACTGGGAGGATCCCAGTTCTGCCTTTGCACCAGGGTTGGCCGGGAGTTGGAGTGGGACCTCATTCGTTTACGAGTGTGAGACCTTGAGCAGGGCTTGCCCCTCCCTGGACCGTTGTTTACCTGTTGGTGCCTGGCAGACATTGGATTGCACTTTGTGTTGCTTTGTTTGAGTGGCCTCTTTTGCATAAAGAGGCTGTCCAGGGTTTTAGTAAGGAAATGGGCTGAGTGTCAAGACATCCAAATGTTCATTTTGCCTTATGCCTGTGGAAATTAAGTAATGATGTCCATTTTGCCCTCCCAGAATAGCAAATGCCAGGCATTCTTAGGTTAAGAGATACAGGGTATACTTTGGCTCTGTATCAACCAGCCAAAGCACCCTCTTCATGCTCCCTCTGTAGAGTAGGAAAGAGGAGAGAGGTGTGTGCATTTGAGTGCGTCTCATGCCTGTAACAGTACACAAGTGTGTTGTGCTTGTGTGCGTGTACCAGGGTGTCTCCTTGCAAGGCTCACAGGAGGAGATGGTTGCAATGTGCCTCGGGGCCCTGCCCTGACTGGCTTCTCTGGCCAGTCTGTTGGCAGTCAGTAGCGCTTGGCCTCAGCTGCCTGGTGCTCCTCTTTACATATTTCACAGCAGCATGAAGGAAACTGGCTAGAGGATTTCTGCTTGCATTTGTAATTTCTTTTTTCATGGTAGCTTTCTTTCCATGAAGTTGCTTTTATATTCCTGATTAAACACCAGAAAGTGAGGCTTTTAAAATAGGGAATCATGTGCTTTGAGTCCAGTTTAAGATGAGAAAGCTGAAAATATTCTATAATCCCTGCTGGCCAGGTTTTTATTGATCATTACATCTCCTTAAAATCAGGAGCCCTGAGCTGGGTCCTGACCTGTAGGTGAAGAGCTGGGCTCCATGGAG